AATAAAAAACGTTTATATAGGAAAAATTTAGATCTTTCACTTTTTTTTTTATTGTCGAAATATTTCAAACTCTATTTTTCTGTTCTTTGCCATGCGAAACTCGGTATAACAGTCATACTTTATCAGTGATAAAGTAAATGACTATTTGCTATTGATGTTTCAAATATCTCAAGTTTCCTCATATTTAAACAAAAGAATCCTGGACGTATTTTTTTTGTGATACTATGCATACAAAATTATGTAAAAACTCATCATTTTCTGACAACTTTAAAAAAATGCATCAGAACAGTATTCTGTTACAATGAAGTATTGATAATAAGTCAGAAAATTTTCTAACGATATTTACCTGAATTGTATCTTTAACTATGGATCTGAGATTTCTCTATCTGAAGCATATGTCAAAATCAATATTACATCCAAAAAGAGATACCATTGCCATGCATGCTTTTAAATCATTTGAGAAAATGATGAGCTTTTCAGAAAAGTTGTGAATATACCATCAGATAAAACAAGTTACGGAATTCTTGTCTCTAAATATGTGGAAACCATAAGTCGCTGACTGTTGCTGTTGTCGAGTTATTAAGTTTACACTTATTAGTCTCCAATCTGGCTTGTACATCAGTTTTTTTGTATGAAGAGATGTAAAGTTTGCAAAGCTAAATACTAGCAAACCTTATTAAATATTTTCCACACATGTACGCCGGATAGACTTTCAACTTTGAAGTCAATAAAGTAAGAAAATTATTAGGAACTTACAGGTACACGTTTTCTTTTGTGGATCCAAACCTGAAAAAAATAAAACTTCGGAACTCCGATTCGGATTCAGATGTGACCGGATTTAAATGTGAATTTTTTTTTCACCAATATCTGGCATCCTTTGCGCATATGAACAAGTGAAAAATCCAGATTATAGCTATTTAATGACTGCTTTCAGTGCATTCTTTGAGTGTTTTCAAATCTGTTCTTTTAGAAGACGATAGAAAAACTCGAAACACATATATATATATATATATTGGTAATTACGAGCGTATAACTCTATCGAACGACATGTAAATAAAACCAAAACTATTTCCACTTGAATTTCGTATTGTTGGCACCTTAATTATAGGTTTAAGATACATTAAATACTATCTAATGACAAGTTTTAAATTAATACCTAAATCCGATTGTTATTTGGTCATATTATATAGAGATTTGGGTTTATCAGTTCAGTTTCTACATATTTTGCGTAATGCATAATTCTATCGATAATACAACTTTCATTGAGAGTTGATATTAGAGTAGATTTGTGAGTAGTATCTTCAAGTCTTCATATGAGTTACACATAGAACGAGGCATTATCTTTGACGAGTAAACATAGAGATCCGAAAATTTCACCATTCGAAAGTGAGGAATCAGGGTCCTATGTATGGCGAAATCTTGTTGATTAATAACTGATCAACCAGATGAGTTCTCTGAGGAGCTATTTTCCGATCTACAAAAGCCCCAATTTTTCGTATGTTTGATTCAAGTAATTCATCATATCGAATCTGGTGATGTTTATTTTCAGTTTCAAAGTTGGTTGACACTACTTTTTCAGTATTTTTGAAATTTCAAAAACTTGTCCTACATCGCATAACAACTTAAATTTTCAAAATCTTAACAAATTGATCTCAAGTCATTTTGAAACTGGAAACAAACACCACCATTTGACTTAGCACAAGGAGTTTCTCCAGCATTAATCTTTTTCCAATCTTTCAAGGTCAATTTGCTATGTTCATGAGTCTCGGAAAGCTCTCTACAACTTTTAAACAGACCATGCTAGAAAGTTGAGACCTGCCTAGATCGAAATCGGAGGGTTTTCCTATCGAATAGCCATATTTCGACTTATTAGTCAACTAGGAATGACTCTAGAATATCTTTTTCAATATTTCTTCGAAGAACTCAATTACTTAGTCAGATGTCAACCTATCAGATTTCGGCATACATTGATTGATCTGGTTCTTTCTCTCTTGAATGCTGAAATTTCGAAGTGTTCATGTTGATCGTATTAGAAGTTATTCAAAAACTAATCAGAGCCATTGCTTTTTGAATACAACAATCGTACAAGTTGAATCTTTTTGATCGACATTAGGTCTATCTCGTCTTCCGACTTTGTTCCGATTCCATCTCCTGTTCCTAAATAACTGAGTAGAACAGAAAGAAATACATTTCACATAGGTGATACTGGTTACAAGACCCACAGTCGCCACACTTTTCGCGGAAAATCTATAGAGGATTGTATGAAATGAAATGAGAGGCACTTTTCATGTAAAAAAATAAAACAGCATGCTGTGACTTCGGTAAACTATACTTGGAAATATTCTATATTGAACTAAATGATTTTAGGTAAATTCATTATTGAACGATTTCGTATGACTTTATCTGATAAAAAAAATGATATTCATGCTAAACTTATGTCTCATTATCCACAAGTTTCCGAATGGTGGTAAGCAATTTTTCGTTTGTTTTGTTTTTACAGGTGTTCACACCTTGTTTAGGTATTATATAATACTTTTTCTTTCATTTATTCTTGGATTAATATATTGCTACAGTAGTCCGTTACTACCAGGATATATTATGATTGGTATGTTAACTATTATAATTATTATCCTAGCATTTGATTAAACGTTTTAGTTGCGATAATTGTAAATTTTATTATGATGATACCAACAGGTGTTATAGTAGCAGTAACTAATATGACATTCAGTGAGTTTTATTCAACAATGATAATATTTTTAATCCTCATTATTGTGTTTGCTGTTTAACAGTTCTAGGTGTTCCTATTGATATTTTTAGTAGTTTAATCGTACCTGGTAATCCTATTGCTTTTCTAACACTTCAAGCCTACACGAACTCATGTCAAAATCTAATAATAAACTTTTTACTTATCTTTAAAATTGCTCATTATATGAAGGTAAAAACAATCTTGCTCAAAAAGTTACTTTTAATTGACATATAGATTCCACCTCGTATTGTGTTTCCTATGTTATTGATATGCCCAATAATTGCTAATATAGTGCATTATACAACAGCTATTTATCTTCTTAATCATATACCAAATATTTGTACACACAAAAATCTTGTATGGAAATGTCTTAAAGCAGAGGGTTCTTATACATCATCAATTTTATGGGGTGCAATCGGTAAAAGATAATGAAATTATCTTTTGATTAAGTTTATTTGTAATATTTTTTCAGGTTTTGTCAAAATATTTAGTGTAAGTTCAATATATTTTCCATTACTCTTTGGATTACTTCTTGGTCTAGTTTTACCTATTATAAGTTGGTTTTTATGGAAAAAGTTTCCAAATATCAAATGGTTAGCATTCATTCATTTTCCACTTATACTAGTGGCAACAAATAGTATGCCACCAGCGCCAGCTAGTGAATCTACAACATGGTTTTTAGTGGGTTTTATTTTTAATTTTATTTTGTATCGTTATGCACATGCATGGTGGGAAAAATATGCATACGTATTTTCAGCGGCAATGAGTTGTGGTGTAGTAATATGTGGGTTCATTATATTTATTACATTGCAAAATAACAATATTGAATTTCCTGAATGGTGGGGAACCGGTGGACCCACGAGAGATGGTTGTCCTTTGGAAATTGCAAACTACTCGGGATTTGTAGTGACTGATTATGAATTGTAAATTGTTTGTTCTGAAATTGGAAAAATCTACAATGACTACCGCAGTTATTCAAGCGGATTCATTTTCAACTTTTTTTTTCTGCCTCTTAACTGCTAAAAAGAGTCAAAAATAATTATTCAGATAGAGAGAGTAAAATGTATGTATAAAGAAAGCATAAAACAAATCAACATAATTACCAGTTTCTCGCAGACAAGAGCTTTAGAAAGCCAAAGCTCCTGTTTTTCATCAATTAGACTACATACATATTATTTGGTCAGAATAATAAAGGAACATTCCCAACAGTCATATCACTTTTATGCTGCGACTATGTTCAATCGATAGAGACTAGTGACTAGGTAAATATTTTGGAATGATTCGTGCTGCCAGATCTTTGTTGCTGAGATATCGAGTTTTCAGTGGATTTTTCTTGCAAGAGCTAATTTTTCAAGCAAAATAATAGTCATAAATTGTAGCTTGAAACTGTTCTTTCATAAAGAACTCCTTCAGTATAGCTTACAGAAAAACACTTCAGAAATTCTTCGCAATGCCTCTTCGAGATATTAATTTTACAAAACAATATCGATGCTATCTCTTTAGTGCTGTAAAACCATGAGTATTTTAAAAAATAAATATTACGCAGAGAGATTTTCAAAGAACTCTGAGACTTTCTCTGTAAAGTATTCTAAAAGAGCTCTTTATGATGACGTCAGGTAGTTATTGCTTAGAAATGTATCATAATTCAAATAGTTTGTATTTTATTCCGAGATGATCGCCTATTGAAATTCTCATTATTTTAAAATGAATCTTGTTTTAGTTTTTTCGTAACATTTCGATCAATGCAAACAGTATATGTTGACATTCAGTTACTGTTTCTCGGCGAGATGATCTACTTATTCATTACATAGGACACAATCTGATTATTTGCGTGCCATCTTCATCTTCACACTGTGTTATGTGCAATCAATCAAATCAAATGCGCATAAATTGAGATTAATGAAACATAAAAAAGAACCGCGCTTTTATCGAACCTGTGACGGATTGGCATCGCCCAACTGCCGCGAACAACTTGGAATGGTCTCATTTCATCGACGATTGTTTACCCTATAGTTTTGCGTCGGCTAAACAACGTGATATATGTCTTTTCCATGTATTGAAAAACAAGATATAACAATGTTTGATCGAATAAGTTAACATGCAGATAGGATAACACTTTATTAGATTTCTTTCTTATCATCAACCGTATTTGCTTACACTCGAACCACCTACTTATATACACAGAGAACAGAATGACATACAGAGAAAACATGATAATGAAATGAAATACAAATGTCGTCACATATGGGTCTTGATTTTTCTGAAAAATACAGTCTCCAGAAAACTAATAATCATTGTTACTTCTTCTATGTTTGCATTTCTTTTTGAAATCTCAAGCAATGAAACAAAAAATTGAAGATGCACCTAAATGAATAAATTTTTCAGACTCTGAAACTTTGTGAACGATGAATATTTTTAAAGAGTATTATGAAACAGTCGATCTAAATGTAGATAGATATTAATTACTTTAAGAAAATATCATACTTTTCATTATATCTAGAGGTGCAAGTCAATGTATCGATTGCTGGCAATAGTAGAGAATGAAATGTTTCTGTGAGTTTTTACAAAATTATCTTATTAAAAATAAAAATAAATGGACAATTGTATAACACATAAAATTAAAATAGAGAAAACAGCTAAAATTGTGATATTTCGGTATCCATTACATAGATACCATCATCAGACAGATAATCACCAACATAAACTATACATTTATTTATATCAGATCTATATGAACTAATATCGATATAATATATGTAAGAGAATGTATCAACACATTTAAAAAATATATATATAAATTAACTCATTGATCATAAAAAGAAAAGAACAATAAATTAACTTAAATAAGACATCAATTTTGTTGCTGTATAAGTATCATATTAACAATAAAAATAAATGGGGTGTGGTCCTTTTCTTAATAGACACCCACACCCATCTTATTATTATCAACCGTATTGCTTACACTCAGAGTATCTACTTGCATGCAAAAGTAACAAAGAGAATAGAATGACATAAAGAGAAATCAAGAGACAGGGATAACATAGAGATATCGTCACACATGGTTCTTGATTTTTCTGGAGATACCGTCTGCAGAAAAATACTAATCATTGTTACTTCTTCTATTTTTGTCTAAATAATTTTCTGTATTCGAATCACTGTTTGGACTAGTTTTTGACATTTAAAATAATAGGAAAAAATTAAATACGTACACGATTTAAACATTCTCGCGGCCAGTGAATGTCGGTGAGCGCTGAATTTTTTGAAGACTATTATGAAACAGTAGATCTAAACATAAATTTCTATAATGTATTTAAGCAAAACATCATATTCTTCTTTTCTAGGTAAATATGAAAACCGATGTATTAAACCAGTGATGGTGGTAGCAACAGAGACTTTAAAAATGTGTCGCGAGAAAACAATGGCAGAGAACTTGCTGGTAACAAACAATATAGTAACATTTGAAAAATCTAATTTGGAACGTGAGAAATTTTTAGCAATTTAAATATCTATTTTTGTGTAACCGATCGGCTTACATCTCTAGTTATATGCGAAGTTACAATTAATTTTTGTTTCGTTCAGTAACATATGAATTGAAAGTAGATACTGCTATCACATGTTAGAAAGAAATCGATTTCGGAGACCAAATATTGTTGGTATGAAGAAAAAAAGTAAGACTGATCAAGTTCTTTAGAATATGCTCAATCTTCGCTGTGAGGAACAATGAAATTAATCTAAAGCAATATCTTAAAAAAGCGTTAATTGTGTGTAATCAGAATAAAATGAACTTGTGAGACATACTGTAAACTTCATTTCAATGCACGCTTATATGTTCAGATATTTTACTCATAGTGTTATTACTATTAAACTCATCCATCAGGTGATACCCATGTAAAAAAAAAGTAGAAAATTTTCACTTTTAAGTACTTTGCATATTAATAAAGTAAAAAAAAGTCACTTTTCACAACTATTTCCCACCTTTGAAAGTACTTTTACATACTTTTCTACCTTTCGAAAGTACTTTTCCATACTTTTCACTTTTGAAAGTACTTTTCCATACTTTTCTACTTTTCGAAAGTACTTTTACATACTTTTCTACTTTTAAAAGTACTTAATAGTACTTTTTTCTAACAAAAAGTATTTAAAGTAACTTTTGACACTTTAAAATGTACTTTAATATATTTTTCCACTTTTGAAAGTACTTAACAGTACTTTGTCCTGACAAAAAGTATTGAGAATAACTTTTGATACTTTTAAAAATACTTATTAGTACTTCCGTTTGTATAAAGAATACAAAGTACTTTTCCGTATTAAATGAAGTACTTAATGATACTTTTGTGTCACACAAAGTGTTGAAACTACTTTTCGACATAATTTACAGTAATTAATAGTACTTCTTTATGACGCAATTTTTTAAAGTACTTTTGAATACTTATTGAAGTAGCTCAAACTACTTTCTTATTTGATAACGTGTTGAAAGTAATTGTTGATACGTTTTGAAGAACTTCATAGTACATGCTTATGACACTCGGGTTAACCCATGTAAAAAAAAAAAGTAGGAAATTTTCATTTTAAGTACTTTCAATATAAAATAAAGTGAAAAAAAAGTCACTTTTTGCTACTATTTGCTACTTTCAAAAGTACTTTTCCACACTTTGCCACTTTTGAATGTACTTAACAGTACTTTTTTGTAACAAAAAGTATTGAAATTCCCTTTTCACACTTTTGGAAGTACTTTGTAGTAATTACTCTGAAAATAAAGTATTGAAAGTACTTTGAGACACTATTTCATGTACTTAATACTAATTTTATAGAAAATAAAGTATAAAAAGTACTTTTCGATATCATGAAAAGTACTTAACAGTATTTTCCTGCCATGCTAAGTATTGGAAATACTTTACAGTACTATTGGAGGTACTTTATAGTACTTTTCTACAACCCAAATTTTCGAAGTACTGGTAAATATTAATCAAAGTTATTCATAGTACTTTCTTATTAGATACAGTATTGAAAGTAATTGTGGATACTTGTTGAAGAGCTTAATAGCACCTGTTTAAAACACGAATCAAGCCTTTAGACTGTAAGTTTGCATCATCGATTGTGCATGCTCTTGCAGTACCAGACGAATATTGTACGAGAAATTTTTGTCTCTGCAACATTTACCTTAATGCTCGATGTACAATTCTTGCCAGATCGTACGCATCATTAATGCTCCATAGGCGTTGACACAAAATTTACAGGAAAGCAAATTAACTTTTTTGAATTTATGCCAACTCTTTTGAGTCATTAGTTAAAATGATCTTGGAAGAATCTGACATGGAGACTTAATCTAATTTAGCACACATCAAAATTACTCGTACGGTTTCTATCAGATGTTACAAAATCATAAAAAATCAGACTTCAGATCCTAAGACTTTATTGCCTCGTTACTTGGTCTAGGAGAAAGTGTTAAATGCATCTTTTGATAATCTGAAGTGTTTAACAAAACTTTCCTGTCAATCAACATGTTGAAAGTACCTGCTGATACTTCTTTTCATTCCTCAATTGTACTTATTCTGTATAACATAAAGTGTTAGAAGTACTTTATATTACTATCCCTGCATAAAAAGTATTTTATGTACTTTTCAACACTATTTGAAAATAATTAATATTACTTTCCAGTTTGCTTAAGAATTCTGAATAATTTTTGATACTTGTTCAATTAATTAATAGTACTTTTTTATGACATAAAGTGTTCGAAGTAATTTTGGATAGATCTTGAAGTACTTTATATTACTTTCCCGTCATACAAAATATTGTATGTACGTTTCGACACTATTCGAAGTATTTAATAGAACTCTCTTTAAGAACAAGTATTGAAAACAGTGTTAGATACTATTTGAAGCACTTAATAGTACCCTTTATTATGCTATAAAGTATTAGAAAGTACT